ATTCTGGGGAGGGAAAGTAGGAAGATGATTTTTGCCAATATATATTCTTCCATATGTAACACTTTCAGCTGTTACTTGTACAAATAGCCGATATACTTTTAAAGAAGTAATTAGCATGAGTTGACATAAATTTAGGAAAGGTAAATTTAAACATAGGTCTGGGGTTGGGGATTTAGCTCAGCGGCAAAGCGCCTGCCTGGCAAGCGCAAGGTCGTGAGTTCGGTTCCCGATACCAGAGAAAAACCAAAAAATAAATAAATAAATAAAATAAACATAGGTCTGACCCTATATTTATGTTTACTCAATCCTGGAGTAAAAAAAAAAAATTCTTCTTGCATAGAATTACCAGCAATGGACATTTAATAGCTACTCAGCCATTCATTATATTTTTTCTTTACAGGTGTTATGACACGTTTTCCATTGCTTGCTTTATTATATGTTTGATATCATTTATATATCCATTATATTACACTTAATAATATCAAACAGCAAAGCCATCTTTGGCACCAGGTAAACTGACTAGCCCAGTACTGAAAAAGTCAATATTGGTTCTGTCTACCTTATGCATTTAAAATTCTACAGAATGCTTCTAGGGGCTGGGGATTTAGCTCAGCGGCACAGCGCCTGCCTGGCAAGTGCAAGGTCATGAGTTCAATTCCTGGTACTGGAAGAAAAACAAAAACAAAAACAAACAAAAAAGAATCCTTCTGCTACTAATTTACTCCACCAGTTAGTATGTAATATTCATGTAAATACTGCTCAATGGCACTCTTCCCAGGACAATTCTTTCATATGCAGAACTAAGAATAGTGCACATTTAAAGTCCTTGGCTTCTACCCACTAAATGCTGGCAGTTTTTTCCCCACTCTCATCGGTCGACTGTATGTAATATCCCCAAAACACTTCTCTAGTGTTTAGATTACTATAAAACATCCTACTTTATTAAGCATAGGTACCAGTGCCTCAGTTTTTCCAGAACACTGGTAGCATTAGAGGATCATCAGCCCATGGTCTGCCTCAAAAGAGATTCCCAACAATAACAGTGTCTTACCTAGGAATTTCTCAAGGTGGTGTGAGATGGAGAGGTGGGCACTATTCTGCTTCTGATTTCTTCAGAGTATTCAGCAGTTTCATTGGTTATACAAAACTTACAGAATATTTAGTATAATAGCACTCTCTTGGAAATACTACTGCTCCCATAGGGAAACTCAATTTCAATCTAAATATTCTAAAAAAGCAAAGCAAACAAAACCTCTTAACTCTGGCACAGGAAGAAGAATCTAAAGAACCACTTGTTTTCTTCTCACCTTTACTCTCACTCATGTCTGTCAAAGAAAAGAAACAAAATCCTTTCAATATCTGATATGAAAAAGTACTCAAAGTATCAAATAAAATTATGAAGTACCTCAGATGTGGACACCACTCTAATAGCATGAACTGAAATGTGTATGAACAAAAAATAAAATCTCCAGACCAAGCTGCTCTCCGGGTCTAAAATTCAACCATGTCAAAGCCTCCAAAAATATTATCAAAATCAGTCATGCTGAGGACTTTGAATGTCTTCCTAATAAAAGCTGCTCTCTCAGTCTAGTCAAGAATTTGGAGAATTAAAAATCTTAAACATGATTTTTAAACAGTTGTAACTGTGAGGAATTACCAATATAACAGATTCAGACTAAATAATGGGGGGAGAGAGGATAAAAGCAGGATTTGTTCCTTTGTACCTTCAGGAACTCATTCCAGATGTTATACTTCACACTAAAGCAAAGCTAGTCACGTAAAACAACGATGCCCTCATGAAAACATGTTAGTTTCTTTTTTAAAGTAAAAACTCCCTTTCCTTAAAGTCACTAAGTTGACATCCTACGTAATAGGTTCTCACCTTGGATGAGATATAGCAACAATACCCGCGAAAGATGGACACTCTATTAGTCAAACCATTAATACACAATTTCAATGTCTTTCAGGATAGGCTCTACACTGCAAGTTATCCAGGGTGTGGGCAGCATCCTTTCTTTAGGCACCCTGAGACTTAAGAAAACCTCTCAAAATTTTAAAGACTCCTATGGAATGCAAAAATAATGAGATTGGCTTAATAAAAGCACTTTTTTTGTTGTTTGTTTGTTTTTGTTTTTCTCCGGTACCGGGAACCGAACTCACGACCTTGCACTTGCCAGGCAGGCGCTTTGCCGCTGAGCTAAATCCCCAGCCCCAAGCACTTTTAATTTGTTCTGTTTGTTTGTCAATGGTATATTTACCATAAAAACAATCACAAGAAAAAGAATGTTTCCAAAGGGAAGGAATTTGAAAGGAAATCAGAGCATTAACTAAAAATTCAAAGATTCTAAACTGGCCACTGTTTTAAAGTTGTGCTTTGCAACTCTTTTGTTAAGGATTTTTTTTGGGGGGGGGGGTATGGGGAATCGAACTCAGGAGCTTGTGCTTGCCAGGCAGGTGCCGCTAAGTTGTATCCCGGGTCCTGTGCTTTCCAACTCTAACTGTGAATATAAACCTCAGGGATCTTGGTAAATTCCAACCAGACTCATTCAGCAGATCTAAGCTGAGAAATAGGATACTGTGGTTCTAACAGGCTCCCAAGCAAGGCCAAGACTGTTGAGCCATGAATCACACCTTCGAGCAGAAACAGACACTCTAAACCATGACTTGACTGAGATACGAAAGAAAATGTGTGTCAAAGCAGATAAACAGTTGTTTGAAGAAGTTTTCACTAGTAAATATTTAGTGGTTTTACCCAAATAGCTAATTCTGTATCCAGCAAACTCTAATTCAAATTAAGGAAAACCTATGCAGTGAAAAGCAGAAAACACAGAGAAATCTAAACAAAATAAAGGCACTTCAACTGTTAATTCTCACTCTAAATGGAAAGTTTCTTAAATAATTGGGTTCTGCACATCCAGATAGTCTATAAGAAGAAAAAAAACATTCCGGGAGATCAATAAATGGTGAGTTACTCAATGCTAACAAACGCAGTCTGTTGTAAGTCCTTTGTGTTTAAAAAAAAGAAAAAAAAAAAAAACTTCATTTTTCATTTTAACTGCAATGAGAATTTTTTTTTTTTTTGTCTTTTTGAGACAAGGTCTTGCTATACATGTAGTCCAGGTTGGCCTTGAGCTCACTTTGTAACCCAGGCTGGTCTCAAATTCTCAACAATCCTCCTGCCTCAGCCTCCCTAGTGCTGGGATTACAGGCATTAATGACAATTTTTTTCACTATGTAACTAATAACTTTCTTTTGGTATCAGAAATCAAACTCAGGACCTTACATTTGCCAGGCAAGTGTGTTATGCTGAGCTGTCTCTCCAGCCACTAATAACTTTAGAGCAAATTACTGCTTAAAACATAAAAGTTATAATGAGGACACTACATACACTACAAAAGATGAAAACTGCTGTACAAAATCAAATATATTATCACGTAGACAGTTATCTATATAGATCGTTTGTACGCAGTCAGTTCAAAACTACTTATTTTAAATGCAGATTGATTCATTCAGTAAGATTTTATTGACCAACTATCACACATCAACCACTTTGTTAAATGCAAGTAAAGTCTGGATCTGGACTCAGAAAGACCTTTCTGATCTAACAAGTTATGGTGAACTCGTTTTTTAAAATCTCTGAGCCTGTTTCCTCAGAGTGGTGATGTTAATTAGACTATATAATGTAAATTAAATGCCTAACATGTCTTATACAATATATAAATGCTATCTGAAATACGTAGTTTGAGCATAAGAATATAATCTTTCTACAAGCCAATTTTCCACCACATAGCTCCACGTTAGAGGATTACGCCCCGTCTTGAAAGTGAGGCTGAATAAAAAGACTGAACAGCTTTAAAAAAAGACTAATATTATGAATTTCACACTCAAAAATGTGTTTTGAGCTTAAGTGCTGGGTATTACACATGCTAATGTTGTCTTCCACTGAAAAGAACTGGGTACACTATAAAAAAAAAGGGAACAAATGCTCCAGCTATATGATTTTAGGCATAATGTAATCATGGTGGGCTATACAACTTAGCGCAATTTCAGTGCAGTGTTAATTGACGCCACTCTTCCCATTACCTTTATAGACTACCCAATAGTAACCCTATTCTCTTGCAAGGAACATATCAGGAGTCCTACTGAAAACAATTAACTAGGAAAGCAGTCAATTCTAAAAACCTAACTGACTAAGGCAATCTAACCAGCAGAACTAATGCAGCTAATGCAGAAATAATGCAGAGCGTTGGCGTCCATCAGGCCAGGTGTGCCGATTGCAGTTTCATCAATTCAAGAAGACAGGAGACCACCAAGCCTGTTTCTGAATTGCTCCAAGCTTCGGCTTATCTGAAAAACGGCAAAACCAGTATCTGCTCTCTGCATCTGTGCAAAATGGACTATGTCAACTGACGCAAATCACTTCAATTTCTGAGCACAGGGCAGCCGATGCTACATGCGATTATCTACAGTAAGAAAATTAAAGTCTCCCCTTGTTAACGTCAGTGAAAAGGTGGAAAGTTTAGGGTCTTCCAAACCCTAAACTTCGTTCGTTTGAAGACGCTAAAAATGGCGAGAAACACCAGGGCAAAAGCGTGCACTGGGACCCCAACACGTGACCCGCGCTCCACTTTGTCACGCCGCAGGAGGAGGCAGCTCCGGCACGGGAGGGCGAGCTTAATCCCGGAACGGCTTCAGGCAAAGGCAGCCGCGCGCCGACCGGAAGTTAGGGGAGCAGGCGTGCGGGCCGGAACGAGGCGGGGGCGGCCGGGCGGAAGCGCCGCGGAAGGGACCGGGCTGCCCGGCCCGCCCGTCCACC